GGCTTAATTTTAAGAGAAGTATTCCTGAAGCTCGTTGACAAGCATGCGATTACCTCAGGTCTCTAAACCACCCATGATCATTTTAGATATAATTTAGGAACCACAGCAGAAGCATCAGAATCACATGTTAGCGCTTGGTTTGTATGAAACCAAGGGATGTGTCATTTTTATTCTGCGTCCTGGTTTGCCATGGACGTCACTAGAGACCGCATGTGCACACAGAATGGACTTCAGACTTAATGCATTAGGTGAGAGTACGTTGTTTCTGTTTCTGCTAGATTGTAGAATCTTATTTCAGATTATACATATATATATATATATATATAAACATGTTGTGTATTCAGTTGAAATAAAGGAAAGCTCTCTGGGTGTCTGCAGGCATGTGTACAGCAGGCAGCACAGAACAAATAGTCTTTATAGTCTGCAAAGTCCTTTGTTTACTCTTAATTTGGACAAACATACATCCCTTAGAGAAGAGCGCATTAGAAATTTCATGTATAACTATCAATTAGATTGAATTGTGTAAAGCTTATTTGTATAAATGAGAAAATTAAAACCTTTTGGTTCAAGAAGTACACAAAACTAAGTAAAACTAATGATTTATTGTTCACAAATTAAAACCATAAGTGTGCACACTGCGATTGAGCTGTAGCGTTTCTTTGTTCCAACACTCTACGCTGCTGAAAGATGACAATTTATAATCTTTGAATGAATAAAGATTTGTCTTAGGTCTAGGTATTTATTGTGTAATTAGCCCATCTACGAACAAAACCAGTTTGTTGATTCCAGTATTCATCAAGCACGTGAGCTTGTCTAGGTCTCACTCACGTGTCAGGAATGGGTTAATAGAAATTGTTCTTTATTTGTCATTAAATATCATGGCAAAGTTTCAGAATAATGAGGTTTTTTGTACTTGATCACTGAACAGTGGGAATGGGGTCCTGCAGTCCTGGAGGAACGGCAGCTCTGCTTGATTTCGGCCTTCCCTGGGGCTCGTGTGGAAGCTGTTGTTTCCGCGGTCACTTCTGTGCAGTTTTCCTAGCACCAACAATTACCGCTCAAATGACGACGTTTGTAAGGTGCTTTTTTCAGACCCTTGCCTTTAATAATCTTTCTTCACTACAGTATATTAATCCTGTAACTGCAGAGAAAGGGCTCTGTGCATTTTAAAAATTTACCTTAGATTATGAGTAAGCACCTGTACCTTTGATTTTGAGGGTGGAAAATGAGGTTACAGTGTTCAAGTCATGAAAGAAGACGAAAAAGAACAGTTTTCTCTGAGATTCTGGTTTTCCGTAGTTAAACGTGGAGTGGGCCAGCGGAGCTGGTCAGGATGGAGGGACGGGAACATATTCCAGGTTGAGAGTTGCTGCAGATCCCTTTTCACTTGAAGGAGGACAGAGATTAAAGGTGCCACTATTATTTTTGAGCAGCTCAAAGTTGTTCTTTGCCCCTTGCCAAATATTTTTGGCAGAGCTCTGATTTTTGCTGTAGGTAGCACTCCCGTTTTTAAAAAGTGACCTTGGATGCTTGCTTAGAGCTTTTTTGCATTTATAAGTGGACTTCAGAAACTCGTGTCCCGTTATACTGCATAAACAACAGTTGTATGCTAATTCTCACCTTTAGTTTTTAATAAGCACTCGTTTTCTTTGTATTTTTTCACTGCATGTAATTGCACAAATGTCTGCGTGTTTGTGTATTTTGAGATTAAACAAACTCAGTTGCATTCTGATATTTGATATATGTGTGCTCCAGATGTTGGTGTTAGAATTGGCGTAGCTCAGACACAACGCACTGAATTTCTTATGTTAGGGAGGTACAAAATACCTGCAATTGCCAGTCAGATATCTCTGTCCAACAGGGGCTTGCTTGCTCCCTGTTGATATGTACGCTATTTGTGACTTTTTACCAATGAAAGGTAAATTACAGGCATGGAGGAAAAGCCACTACTTTCTGCAAAGCTTTTGGAGAATTTGAAGTTTATTATTTGCTACCCTGCATTACCGTAAAATTCATTGGAAATTGAAGAAACTCGGTGTTCTAGCATAAGAATAGCTTCGCTGATGTGCAAGAGGCTGCCATAATTTCCAGCGTGAATTCAGATTTTCAAAGAATTAAGCTGGAAGATGAAAGATTACGTTCAAGCGCAAATTCCTGGAAACATCCCTCCAGACTTAAATTAATCTCATCTTGGAACTTGATACCAATGCAAGAAGTGTGTGACCCAGAAACGAAGAGAGAATCAGTTTGAAATTTTTAGAACATATTTGTTTCTGTAACTTCAAGGCCATTTTTAACTTGGAAAAAAAGAAAGGACCGTATGTATGTCTGTAGCGAGCAGCACGGCGATGGCAAATCTCCAGCCAGGGGAGGTCCCATCTCCAAAAACACCGCGCCAAGGGCAGCGGGAGTGGAGCTCGCCCTGACTGTGCTGAGGCCAGGCCCGTCATTGGGGGACCCCGCTATCAAAACCAGACCCGCTGTAAATGCCTGCTTTTGTGATAGGTGTGGTACAGAAATGCTGTTTTATTAAATAGCAGAATAAATTACTGAGGTTTGACCTCAGCGAAGGCTTTATCACTGTTGCCCTGCTGGTGAACTCGAAGGCAGAGCTTTTTTGTGGAATTCAGCATGTCGTCACTTTTTGGTAGAAAGAGTTAATGCTGCGGGCTGAAGCTGCACTGAAACGAGTGTTATTGCCAGACCTATGCAGAGCTGTGCTTCCTCAGGAAAAAGGCAATACACCGCAGAACCAGACCTCTTAAATTTGAATTTCTTTTTCACCATCATGCCATCGTGAGTCTCCAGTGAAATTTTAAGAGTGTTACGCAAGGGAGAAATAGGGGGGCAAAGCAAAGCGGGTGCTGCTCCCCGCGCCAGCGTTTTTGCAGCACGTCCCTGAAGAGCAGCTTCCCTCCTCTTGACAGCTCTGGTAGTTGCCCCTGGGATGGGAAGACCAGAAAAAATGCAGAACAGTCCATAAAGTTCCCGTTGGTTTGAAAGCAAAACCATCTGCTGGAGTCATGAACAGTTTGTTAGCAGGGTTCAATAGCAGGGAAGCCTGCAGTTGATCAGCTGTGCCCTCCGAAACAGGCATTGCTGCAGTCAGCAGGATTTATTGTAGGGGAGTCAGGAGGTATGGGGGAGATCAGGGCAACAGCAAAACGTGTCAAAGGAGTGGTTTTGTTGAGTTGGTTTCAAATGTAAAGTTTAGTGGTAAAGAAGAAGTGAGGGCTTTATGGCTTCACATTCAGATATTTACTGTGAATTCTCAGCTGCTTGTAATCCAGGATGGGATGTGTATTTTCTTAATATGAGTGTTACGGGCTTTGCAGACACATCCGTAAGTCACTGAATTGGGTCTGTCATGATGTAGTGATGCAGATGAACCTCGTTTCGCTGTTACCTTGAAAACTGATGAACACCCAGTGCTGAGATAACATTGGTGATTGCTGAGGTGTGCATGAATACAGGCTCAGATTGTGTTGACTTCAGTGACTATGGCAAATGTGTAGTATCTCACGGGAAAAACTTGGCACCTTGTAAGAGTATATCCTAATGGATATAGCACTTTAAATAATTCTTTAATAAGTTGGGCCCTGAACTGCATTGAGTATATTGCAGGATTCAGAGTAAGGACACACAGCGATACAGAGGTGTCAGAAACGGCTCCGTAGCTGAGATTGAGTTCAGATGCCCCCTTATACAAACAGGATGAAAATCCCTTTATTTCATATAGTGTATGGATTTATGAAAACCCTGTGCTGTTTATATTATAGAGGCGCCGTTCTGTATTTATGGTTACAATTGTGTCTGCTTTGCCATTATAAACTCCTATTATTAGGGGTTTACAACATGGCTGTAAAAATTTGTGGTGGATGGAAACTTGACACATAAAGGTCAACCCTGTAATAATATAGTTTTTAAAAATCAATTTTAAAAACTTAGAGTCATTTTTAGATTATGTGATATAAAAATATTGGTTCTAATTTTAGGATTGTTATAGGAATGTACAGTTTTCATGGTGCTGTCAAGAAAAGGTTTGCTGATGAGCACTGTGGACAGGTCTGATGTTGACTCAGACCAAAAATTTACCCAGCCTTGGATCTCTGGTAGTGACTGGAAACAAATGCTCCGACATTGGGAGGTTTGGAGGTTACAGCCTTCTTGGAGCTGTGTCTGGAGCGTTTTGTTTAATAGCCACAGATGAATTTGTTCCTCAGCTTTCCAGTTCAGTGTCATCTGCAGCTGAAAAAAGAGCTTTTCTTGTCTGTAGTGTTACAGTATTATTATAATGCAATGCAACACTTGAATACAACCTTTCTGGTATTTTACATTCTCGTGAAATAATCTCAGTATTGTAGCAAATTAAACATCAAACTCTGCTTTGTTATGGATTCTTAATTAATATATTGTTACTGCTGTAGTGAAAAGGTGACACTGAGATGATAATGAAACGCTTCCAATTAAATTGCAAAAAAGTCAAATCCTAAAAATCAAGTTGTTAGTGAAGCCAGCTTTAAATTAACGACACTAATGTTGAAATGGTAGAGAAAATGCAGCTCATGAAGTCAAAGTCAGCACACGTACCAGTGCCCCAGGATGGCTTTTGTCAGCGCGCTTTAGCATGGTTCACATTCTGCAGTCTGTAGAAAGGGCTCACATCACTGGCAGCGGCGTTGCTCGGTGCCGAACTCCTCAAGGCAGATGCGTGTCCTCTGGATTGGGCTGTTCTGGATGGCCATGAGGTACTGCAGGTTAAAGGAGGAGCGGCCAGCTGGGTTATCGTGGTGGCTGTACCTGTACATTCACGTCAAAGAACAGAAATCTTTTCATCACTTTTGAAGTCAATCTTTGAGCTCTTTCTGTGCTTCAACATACTGTTACAGATTTAGGAAAATGTGTATGTTGCTGTACCTATGCCTTACTGAAAAAGCTGTTTTAATTTAAAAGCAGTTAACAGTCAATCTGATTTTTCAGTTTTCTGGGATTTTTTTCAGTGGTGCCACCAGGGAGCCCCGGACCGATCACTCGACATGAGTCGTACGACAGCTTAGCATCCGACCACAGTGGGCAGGAGGACGAGGAGTGGCTTTCACAGGTATGTGTCCTGGCGCCTCCCAGCTCGGGGGGGAACAGTAACAGTACCCACTTGAAATAAAATTCACAGCTTTCCCCAGAATGGAAAGTGAGCATCCAGTAGACCATGGGTGTTGCTGTGTGTAAAACTGACTTCACTCCTGACTTAACGTGTTATGAATTTGATGGTCTTTATGTTTTATACAAACTATACTAAAAAACACATAGAGCCCCATCGTTACTGGCACAAGTCGCATCCTTGGGAAGCTCAGGGTGAAGTGGGAAGGTTAAGCTGGCCACAGAAAGTGCCCTCTCTGCCTTTCTTCTCCTGACGTGGCTCTTTGCAGACATGGATAAAAGAAGTTGGCTTGGCAAAATGATGATGGCTTTTCCTCCTCGCTGTACTTCCTGCATTTTAACATAAAATAGTAGATTAACTGGTTTACTTCCTTCTTTTTTAGTTATCAGTTACTGCATTTCCTTCTGATAATGCCTTTGAGTTATGGCTAGATACAAACACTGTAGTGCTTTAAAATGATCCTGCTCAGTGGAATATTTCTATATGAAGCTAAGTCTGTGTAGTTTTATCCATTCTTGCTTTGTTTCAGTCAATGAAGCTTCTCTTTAAGAACTCAGTACATACACAAGTATTTGGCTCAAAAAATGGCTTTAGTTTAAGAATGTAGGTCACGAATAATACACTGAGAATTAGTTTCTGTTAGAAATAAAAGGTTAGAGTTAAATAAATAAATTAAAATTACAATTTACCAAAGCAATTACATGGTACCTGAAACATAGAATTCATCCTGACAAATTAGGTGGGTTTCCTTTGGTTTAAGAACAACATTGTTATGGGAGTGATGCATTAAATATGTTGCTGGGGTATATGGCATACATATGAAATATTCATGGATGTGATTTGCTTCTCCCACTGGTGAATAAATCATACACAGCTTTTTCCTAAAATGAGAAGTTAGGCTTCCACATGCACTGGTCTGGGAGCAGCACTCATTGGGGAATCTGTTCATGTGAATCCACTTACCTGGCCTGAGTTTTCAGCTGTGGCCGCACATGGATGTCTCTTACTCGCTGATGCTGGCTCTAATTTGTCAGAGCGTAAAGATGGTGTAACTGCTCCATCAGTGTCATCAACAGCAGTTTTACCACTGAGTTCACCCTGAGTTTTCCACCTGTCTCCTCCAGTGCTGTTTGAGCAGTTCAGCTAGTTTTACTGTTCCAATGACTTTCTGGTATGGTGGGCAGCCTCAGAAAAAAGAGAGTAAGGTAGATCTACATTCTAGCGGTTGGTTTGTTACTGATTCTTGGAAGACATAAAGTGTCAAAGGAACTTAAAACTGCTTGAACATCATCACGTCTATCCTTCTAGAACAGTAAATGTATTTATAATAGGAAAAAAGAAATCCCAAGTGATGTCCCAGAACACAGATAATTCAGGGAATGCTTCCAGAAGCTTTGATTTTTGCCAAGTGCAAAGAGCCTGAAGATGCTAGCGTTCTCTGAGCAAGCCACTTTAGATTAAGCCTAAAGTGCAAGTGTGTTTTTCAAAATTAAAGTGTTGTTATCAACAGTAACAGCATGCAGTGAAAAAACATTGCCCTTCACTTCAACTTTTCAATTAGAACAGTGGGTAATGTGTGCTGTCAGTGTGAAGTAGATACAATATGTTTGTCCTGCACACAACAGGAGAGTGAATAGGAACATCTGGCCGTAGCCTCAGTAAAATTACAAAGGCATCTGTTTACCTCTCGGCTCTGTGACACTGATGGTTTCAAGCTTAAAATATACAGATTACTTTATCTGTGGCCTAATTTACACTGCAACATAAAAGCTACTTGCCTCAGAAACGTCTACAGTCAGGCTGAGTTACGCTGAGATAAATGCAAGGATGGAAATAGTGCTAAATAGGCTGTACATTTGTCATCTCACATTAGCAGAGAGCTTGGAACAACATTATCCAGTGTTTACAATTGCTCCTTAACGAGTTACGAATCACTACTAGTACTCTTCTGTGTCATTATATGCACACAAATATATTTTCATTCATTTCCTCACTGAATTGCATATTTACTGGGAAACTGATCATTGTTCTAGCAGAAAGTGATAGGAATTTTTGTCATCTTAAGAGTATGGATTCACCAGAGCTAAATATTTTCCTTTTGTATTTTCTTCTCCTGATCTTTAAGGGCTCTTTTTAATTTTTAAAATTGTATTACAGAGGACTTATGCATTGTTTACCCTTTTGTTTACAAGGCCAAATTTTCTGAACATATAAATTTCCAACAGTGTTACCATCTTAAATTTTCATGCTTGCTTTGCATTGCTTTAGTTGGTTTATTTGTTTGCCAAAACCAATACTGATAGATTATAGAGTTATCAGCGTGAAAAGACATTTTTCAAAAGTATTTTGGATTCTTCATTTCCTGAAATAACGTTATTCAAAAGTTCATATCTAGACTCTTGCTGGGTGCAAACACCTAGAGGAGAACCTGTGCATTGTGTACAAACCTGAGTATTTGAAATCAATGCTTGTTAGATGCACCATCTGTATTCTCGGTGCCTGCTGGAATTAGGTGTGGAGCTGAGAACTGTCTGTGTATATATCTACCTGTCTACACATAAACATGTGTCTATCTACATGGAAACATACTTACATACATTTATCTCACATACTCCCATTATTCACTGTATATGTGTTTGTTCATTGCAAGCAAGTGCCATTCTATTTTAAATATTTGGGTTAAATTAATATGTGTGTGTGTATATATATATATATA